CTCTTCTATACGAAGGCCGCAAAAGACATCCAAAACGCCAAGTCGAGATACCACCCGTGGGTCCGTATAAAATTTCGAGGGCTAGGCAATCACGGTGATTCTCATCTTCCCGGAGGACGATGCCATCATTAATCTGTCAACAAACTGGCCTTGGGACTACCCAATAAAGAAGGCTTCCACACGTCAAGGGCGAATACAGATACCTAGTCAGAGCATACTGCGCCGCATATTCTAAGAGAACTGGGGAAGTAAAAAAACTGTAACCGATGTGGGATGCAAAATACACAAACCACACATAGTCGCAAGCGGCCGCTGAGAGGCCGTGACCGAAGGTTGAGGCGGATGAAAGTACTTCGGCTTCAGTTGCCATGTTTAGTTGTGACGTCTACGTGGTGTTTGGGCATATTTCGCCACGAGTACTTCCCCTCCCCTCCATGTGATACCGTATATCAGCTCGTCTTGCTGTCTATCGGAAGTGCTACACAGGTTATTGCCCCACATTCGGACACCATGTTCACGCCTTACCAACATTTTGAGCACAGCCAGTCCACGCAAATACTTGCGCGCTCGGCCTCACGTCCGCTCTGAGCCCCAAGGTTGTCCCTCTCCGATTTATACTCTTTTTCCGTCCCTCTTGACTCTTTTCTTTCACTGATGTAAATGCAGAGAGGAAGAAAATGCGTAGAGGTGAGGGACGCAGCAGAATACGATCAAGTCCCCACCAACACAGAATACGGCAGTTCTCCGATGATCAGTGTAAACACCCGACATTTTAGCATCTGGGAGCTTTGACTCTATCGCCGTCCGTTTGCGAGTGTTTTGTGGAGAACTCCGTTTTAAGTTGGAACAAAAACGATCCCATCTTGGAAATAGCCCCTAACTATTATAGAGCCACAACGCAAGTCACCTTATTGGGCTGCACGCCAGTGGAATACTGGAATGGCACAAAATTCATATAACATTCAACTGTGCTCTGGAAATAGCGGCTCAACATCAACAGGCTCGATAAACTCCCATACATTAGACCGAACGTACGGTCAAGCAATTAAGAAAAAAGATTTACACCAGTGAAAAGGTGCACAACTGAAGTCATTTGTTCTAAGTTGTATTCGTGCGGTACCGCGGCTGTAGAACTTAAAAAAGTAATAATTTACAAGAAATACAAGGCTAGCTTTTGTTTAGTGAGTTGATATTCTTTAGCATTGCATCAGCCCAGGAGGAGCCAGCGATACGGATCCGACCACGGAGTGTGCGAACCATCCAAACAGGCTGCACGTCAGGATCCGGCTTCCCAAAAGTGCCTAAACAAGAAGAAAGGAAAAGATGAGGATCAAAATAGCAGACAAGAGGTAACGAGTCACATTACACTATATTTCAATAGCTTGGCGATTTGTGCCTACGGGGATTTAAAGGAGGGTGCTTACCATAGAAACCCTGCAGACCTGGCAACTCGGTGATGTCCCAGTTATCAAAACTATCTGCAGGCAGGCTGTCCTTGTCCAATTCGATTTCGGGTGCAGACAGATCAAAACAACCACCGATCTGTGGCAGGCCATCTGCATCGATTGGAAGACTTAATAAGACATCTCCTTCTGCTACATCAATTTCTAATAAAGGACAATTGCCAGCAAGGTGGACAGCCACATTTCCAAATCGTTGTCTGATACGCAAAGATCCTTCAAAGCTTCCTATAAAAAAAGAGTTTCAGCCCAGCTAACCAAAAAGGAACAGAAGTTGACGCACTACACTAAGCATAAAAGAGCTACAAAAACACTAATCGTATGGGAATTTCGAGTTACATGGTAAGAATTAGATATACGATATGTAGGCAAGCAATCGAGCTTGCAGTTCGAAAAATGAACTTTCAACAAAATATTAAAGAAGAGGCTAAATAAATCAAGGATTGAGTGACATTCTATGTTATTACATCATGCAATGCAGCATATTGATCCACATGTCCTTAACACGTAGCATATGGGTGAAGCAAGCAATATAGTGCAAGAGTAGAAACAACAGACTCGAATTCAGGACTCACCGATGTCCGTGTTGGCAGCCTCTTCGACTTCGATCTCTACGTTACCATGTAGGGTTCCAAAGTGAATAGTTAGCGGATTTTGCTCCAACGACTCTGGTGTGCCAACCGGGGGCAGGGCCTTCAAAGTCATGTTTTCGCAATAGGCGGAGCTAACATGACACTTTGGACCACCAAAGCTTAGTTCGCAAACTCCTCCGATTAAGTTGTTTGCGTAGATGGACTAAGGAGTCGAGTGGTAAAAGCTTTTTAATTAGTAATGATATTCAAAAAATGCAAGGCTCATTAAAAGCATACAGAAGTTAGTTTACAGTCTTGGATGCCCGCACTAACATGAGCGGATAAAAACAGCAAATAAGAATCAAGGCATACTTACGCCGGGCGTTTCGATAGAGAGATTGCTCTTAATGTAATCGTCGCACTGCACGTCAGCGGCGCAGTTAATTCTTAAATTTGAGAACTAGCATGATGAAACTTGGAAACTTAAGAACTTTTAATTTTCGTAGGGTTAAAGGACCAAGTGACTTTATATTAGCTTCCGACCCTTCGTAATCAGAAAAGCTAGACGACGCGCACGAATTCTGAAAAATGTCAATATCTAAAAATAAAAACTGACAATTTGAAAGCAAACCACGTTGTGCCGGCAATTGAATCTTTGCTAAGTTGACTGGACTAGCTGCTGAAGACTGGGAAAATACCGACAAATTATCCACCACAAATCCAGAATCGTCAGATAGGAATGCGCAATGTTCGTCCGCTTTGTGTGAAGGTAAACAAGATATCATGATGGGCGAGTGAGCTTTAATCACAAGTTTCTTCGACGGATCAATAGGCACAGTAGACAATTTGGCTACTTTTGGCGAAAATATGAAGAAAGCTCTTCTAGCACAACGCGCAAGCATCGTTACGTTTTGACTCCGTGTGATTTCCAAAGAGGAAGACTTTGGGGTGTAGTAGGCGCAATGTCCATTTGTTCTGAATAGCCAATTATCTTCTGCACGATAGGCAAATTTCAATTTCAATTTAAGACAAAAAGACCGAGGCTCGGAGGAGTCTTTTCAAACATAGTTCAAGACAACAAATAAACTCAAACAGGACGAAGATCCTCGAATGGAAGTGGGAACCGCTGGCCGATTGAGTAGATGTTGTCATCCGCAGCCATAACAAAAAAGGCATCAAGACATCT